GTCCGCCAAAGGTCGCCCTGCAAAGTGTGCAACGCTCACTCCGCAACTGGCGGAGGGTCCGAATGTTTCTGGCCCCGTTTCTGAGCACTCGTATTTGGGCTAGATTGGTGAGCTGCTTTTCTCTGCACCAGTCCAGCGCCAGGCTCTGACTGTGCCAACCACTGACAATGCCTGGCCTGGCCTCGAATTAAAAACCAAGAGTCGAGAGACCGGTATTAGGCTTTATGATGATGACTTTAAAACCCATTCCTGTTTCGAATGTGTTTCTATTCCTGTTGCCACGGAGGTTTTGAAGGCTTTTAAGGATTTGGATCGACCTAGCTGCAAGTAGCAAGACGCACCTGAACTTCTAAAAAGAGCCCCATTAGCTATCACAGCGATCCAACCCCGTGCTGTGATTTAGCTTTGAGGGAAATGCCATCTGCCAACTGCTGCTTGAATAATACCAGTGTCCACCAAACATCTTTGTGCCATGGTATCCCCATTGCATTAGGCTAGTCCCCACACTTCTCAGGGGCGGCCTAAGCCTTACATTGTTGCGCCCCTATTGCACAATGAAACACTGTCATTTCAGAGTAAAATCAGAGAGCTGTAGGCTGGAGAAAAGGCCAAGTTTTTCTATCAAAACATCCAGTTTGAAAAATCTGCCAGGGAGCCTCCCCCCAAAATATTGAGGACAGGGTCTTATATTGACTGTATTTAAATATGTATCTTTAAAAATCGCTCTGAAACCACTCGAGAGAATCCTGGTTGTGATTTCTTATCTAGTCTGCGCTTAAACCATCGATTTAAATTAATCGATTTAAAGTTAAAACTAATGTAAGAATTTATCATAACAAAAATAGTCAAACTCATGTGCATATAGTACGTATACACATACAAGTATGCGGCTGTATAGAGCAGCCTCATGTAAATACTTACGATGTAACGATGATATTTATAAATATTCCAGAATTATTCGTGAATGTTTTTCTATATTAACCACCGAACACTGCCTCAGCAGTCTGAAACAAGTTGACCCTAAATAAGATATTTCAATTTAGAGAGATCTCTGAAAAGTAACCTCCTAGTTGCAAAATTGGGAAGTCATCTCAACTTGTCAAAATACACGATAGCTGCTTTCCTTTTTGAAAAAAAAGAAAGAATGCTCCTTTACTACTCTTTAATTAGGAAAAAAGCAACATTATGCGTCAGTTTTAAGACCAGAGCAATTACCGTCGAGATTTCATATTGGAGAGGAGTAAGAGGGAAGCTCATAATTGTTTTGTTAAATTGACATCTTCAATCGTAGTTAAAACGTAACTAGGTAAAAATAGGCGACAAGCTGAATAGCTGCAACCTAGAGGAATTGGATTAGCTCCCTTAGGAATTTAAACATCAAACGAAAACCCTATTGAGATTGCTAGTAGACCTATTCAAAATACTCCTTGTTTTAAGAAACTTGCTTTTTTAACAAACGAGATCCCTAAATTTATTCCCACGGTAGTTTTTCAGAAATAGAAAGATCGTTCAGGGAAAAGGTATATCTTAACACTTAAACACCCATCGCTAAATAACTAAGTAGAAAAGATTAATTTTAAGAATGCTTGCTTAACTGAATAACCTGTTGTCTCCAAAGCACGGTTGTGTGGCCTTATCAACTCTGCTATTCCAATGAGAACTTTATAACTTTTAATATAGGGTACATATTATGTCCATATTTAATAAAAAGTGCCTGGAAAGATAGGTTTTATAATACTGGGGGGTTTTTTCATCCCGCACTGATGTCACTGTTTTGTAATTCATCTACCAGAACTAGCCAAACTTTCTCTCAATTTAAACAAAGCAGGTAAATTAAATAAATCTTATTTATTCTCAATCCCTTCTCCACCCTCCAAAAAAAAAGCAGTTCAGTAGATCTTTCCCAAGTGTAAATAAATGATCTGAATGTGGAATTCGATTTTTTTTTAAAAAACCATTTATAATTTATAAAGTGACAAAATAACATACTATTACCCCATGAATATTTGATTATTTACACTTTCAGTTTGAAACAAATTTGACTTTAAACCAGATTATCTACAAAGATGGTATAGCAAGTGAACATTTACTGTATCTTTAAAACATAATATACAAACTACTATTTAATATTCAGTAAAATGTAAATATGCATGAATAAACCTATTGCAGCTAATAAATAGCTCTGGCAAATTTGAAGCAATTACAAAATAATTATCTGGCTTGTAAAAAAAAACAAAATAATTTAAAAAAATAAAATGGGTGTTTTCAGGACCATTCTGTTTAACAAGGACCAGATCTAGCCCAATCGAACTAATGTCATTGGTATGCTCATGTACAGCTGACGCCCACAAAATCCGATGTGAAAAGAGCAAATTTGATCCCATAGCTTTGGGATGTAACTGTATGTGAACGTTAGAAAATTTGCTCTGGAATGAAACACACTACTTAGTTAATTGCAAAGACAGAGAAAGTCAGGATTTGAGAACCTGAAAATACCCATGGGAGGTAGTTTGATGTGCAGGCTTCGATTAATGTAGAATATCTAAATTGACTATAGATTTCCTTTCTTTTTATATACTTTGGTTATTAAAATGACAGAAGAAAGGATTTGTTGATAGTTATAATTGCTTCTTTTTGAAAATTTACAAGAGAGTTTACAAAATTCCTGAACTGGTAACAGAGCATTAAACTTCCTAGCCCAATTTATATCTAGTAATGCGGAAATCTGTCTTCCTTTGTTTTCGAGTCGTATATTAGAGTTGTATGTTTGCAGACTCCTTGATTACGTTTTGATTCTCCCCTCTGTCTTTCCTTAACACCAGTTTCAAAGTGGGTAGGTTTGAAATTCAGGACAAGTGTGACACCTACCTGTGAATGTGGGGAAACATTCCAATGCGACCCTCAACCTCCATTTATCTATGGTAATCTCTGGACAGACAGATGTACAAATCCTATCAATGCTTGTAATATGCAGCAGCAATGAAGCACTAAGTTAATCAAATTAACCAAATATATCAATGCAAAATTCTGGTGTGGGGGGGTGATGGTGAAGTATCTTTCCCCTAGTGTATATTTTAATGTGTATTCCCCGGTTCTCTTCTTAATAACTCTGCAGCACCTTTGAAATAGTAATAAGGGCTAAATCTGGCATAAAATCGAACTCATTAGCAAAGTTCACCAGCTGATTATTTTGCATAAAACACGACACTGATTGGAAGTAATTAGGTTAAAAGATGGTACTGTACTTCGATTTGGTGTTTCTATGATGTATTTTTATATATTTCCTTATTTAATCACTTACACATAAATGCATCTCTTCATTTTATCTCTTATCCTACGTTTTCATTCTTTGACTAAGTTTTTTCCCTCAAATTAGCCTAAATTACCACACCAATTAGGCGCTCTTGTTAAAGGGTCCCAGCATTTAGAAATCATCTTTCACTTTGAAAATCAATTGCAAGTATTTAATGTTTTAAATCAAACCCCACTTTTAAACAAAGTAGCATTTTCCAAGGTTTTTGGTCACCAGTTATTTGTCTATATTTTCTCGGTACAAAACCAAGTAGCTCTGATTCTGCCGAAAACTTCTATTAAAATATTTGCATTTTATGTATGGCGACTGCAGGGTTTTTTAATCTAACAAGTCTGACCTATTTCCTTTGTTTATTAATTTATTATACTTTAGCTCACAGCCAAGGAGGAAAAACCAATAGGCGTCAAAAAAGTTCAAATAAACTTGTATATATATAATATATATTTAAACTATGAAACAATTCGGGAAAAGACACAAATGTATATATTTATATTACGGAAAAACAACAATGCCTGTACAGGTGTCTTGATTTCATAAGTTACTTCAAAGATATTGTATTATCAATTTAAATACAAAAGCTACATTAAATATACAGAATAAGATTTAATACAAATTTTTCTCCTTTTTTGTATGTAATTTGTTTTTTTCTCAGTTGATTAAGACATTTATGAGTTCTTTTATGCTCAGCCATTTCCTATGAACTATAAACTTTTGACTAGGAGTGTGTCATTGATTTTGTTTTGTTTTGTTTTGTTTTTCTCTTGATACTGGAAAAATAACTGCCACCGCATTAAATAAATTAAAAAAACCAAAGTCCCAGGGGGAGTTATCGGAGAAGAAGCCAATATTAAATGTTGGACATACCTTTCTTCAGTTCGTAAGGTGAGTCTTTGCAAAGATCTACTTGGGATTGGCTTCTGATCATTTTAGTTTCTTTAGCCAAGGTTTCTGCTCTGTTTAAAATAGTCTGGTTTAATCCATTGAAATGGCTGCTGGGGGTTCCGGCTGCCGGGTTGGTGCCAGCGTGGCTGTGAAGGTGCCCAAAAGTGCTGTAGTTCGTGTAGCCCGGATAGAAGGGAGAGGCGTAGTAAAGGGGCCGGGAGAGGACGGCGCTGTTGGGGAAAGGGCACTGCGAGGAGGGAGACCGCGACGGGGAGCGCGAGGTGCTGCTCCCGGCCAAGGGAGGGCCCGCGGTCTGCCCGGCGCCTGGAGACACCTCGCTGCTGCTCTCTTTCGATTTGTCCGCGGAGGTAGCGATCTCGGCCAGGGACCAGAGTTTGGGTTTGGAGAGGGCAGCCTGCTGCGGCGAGTGGATCACCGACGTGCTGTTGCTGGAAGGGCCGATGGGGTGCACCTACCCCGGGTGGGGAGCCGCTGCCGCCCCCCGCGCGG